AGAGAGAGAGAGAGAGAGAGAGAGAGAGAGAGAGACTCGTTCGTGACTCTTGACTCATCAATCACGTTTTGAAATGCGCGATACACTTTGAGCCTCACCAACGCGCGGCGGGCGTGATGCATATAAGAATAAGCAGCGATGCTGTGCGCGGAGTGTGCGTGAGTTGCTATACAGCAGTCGTGCTGATGAGTCGAATCGGGATTCAAGTCAGAAGAGTCTGAGTGATTCATCGCTTGTTGACTCACGACTTGCGACCACCCAAACTCGGGTGAGACGCAACGCTCATGCTGAATGAGGAGCCAACAGCGAAGCCATGCTTGTCCAGAGGTGCTGATCTTCTGAGAATGAGGTGCAAGTGCCCGCAAACATCCCACCCTCAGCAGAAGACATATGTGGCATACATACAGATATCCACCCTTTCTGGGCCCGCATCATTTGAAAAGCGCTCTAGCCCGATTGGTGTCCATTGAAATTGCGTGAAGCGCTGTCTTATCATTTCAAGTTTGAGGCTCAACCCCTGCCATCGCTACAGAGATAGCATCCTCCGCACATCTCACTTCGTAACTCGTCATCGCCATCGTCGCCATAATATCCAACGCGGCAAGCGCAGATCCATGTGTGACGCGCAATAATCTCGACTCACGAAAAGCCAGCAGCGCGGCGCAGCATCAGCCAGGGGTGATTCATGCAGTCGTGAGTCTGAGTGAGCATACCGGTACATAGGTATTAATAGGGTCCATGCATTATCAGGGCTATGCGAATTCGGCTCTTTGCGCAGTCACCTCAAAATCGCGTTCGGAGATTAATTGACTCACCTTCACCCACCCACGACTGAAGACTAAACGAATCAAGAATGATACTAAGTAAATGCTGCATATATGGAGCCAGCAGCAGAGACTGATGCTTGGACTGCTTGGCAATAGTAGTAGTTATAGGGAGTCGGACCTGCGGCAGTCACAAGTGTTTGAGTCAAATCCGCGCAGAAATCACAGCAGTCAAGAGTCGTGAGTCAACATCAAGTCAACATCAGACAAATCATACAAGCTCGCCTGTGTACTCAGACTACTCTACTAATCGCGACTGCTATACTACTCACGTGTGATGAGATCTACTCAACTCGGCTATAGGTAGTCAAGCTGGATGAGTAAGCCTCAGCAGACCGCCTGAATCGCAGCCTGCCTGTGCGCATATAACCATCACACTCGGAACAGTCACATGTCCACAAGAATCGGTCAACATCGACCAACGCCCCGGCCGTCATCCTCATTGGTGATTCTCTCGATCACAAAGTCCTGAGCGGGTCCGCAGCACCTCGAACACTCACAGATTGAGGCTAGCAAGCGTGCTGGCACCATCATGACTTCGAAATAGTAGCAAATCCATTCAAGGCACCCACGCAGCCAGTATCGTCAACTCGACTGCCCTCCTTGGAAGTTGATTCTCACCCAAAAGGACAGGGCGTCGCGCTATCATCGTTATAGGAGCCGAGCCTCTTTCTCGAGCTAGCAGCCAGCTACTATCTGAATCTGCATTCCGAGTAGCACGCTCGACAGATCCAGACTCAGAGCTCCTTCGGGCGAGCCGCCCGCGCACACGTTTTACGAAACTTGGCTGTTGGCTGCGATGAGTGGTGACGATCTCACTGCCGTCACCCTGCCTCGATCTCCAATGTCACACCCACCATCAACTCCAAGCAGGTCCAAGAGAGCTTTGAAGGACCTCGACGCACTTCGCGGTGCCCGAGAAAATCAGCCTGGGCAAACCTTGCATTCATGGCGGTCCAAAGAGAATTCCAGCGCTTCGGACAATGCCTGCGATAGCCCCAGTCCCGCAAGGGACGGCCGACTGACCAAGAAGGCCAAGGTCGAGCTCACGCCCAGATCTTATCAAGTGAGTGTGCAGCGCCAGTCCTTTCAAAGCGCTGCGTACTGAGCGGTCCTCAAGGCTCAATGCGCATTGTTCTCACGTATCCAGAGCTACCTCTACGAAATTGCGAAGCGTCGATCCGTCATCGCTGTGCTGCCGACGGGCAGCGGCAAGACGCTCGTAGCTGCAATGCTCATCCAGCACGTCCTCGACATGCACCAAGACCAAAATGCGCAGCGAGTCTCACCCGACTTTTGCAAGCCGCCGACGCAGCCAACACCCCTGCCGCACGACGAGCACACATCGGAGCGCAAGGTCATTCTCTTCCTGGTGAACTTGGTTCCTCTGGTGCATCAGCAGGCCACTTTCATCGAAGAACACACCAACGCCAGAGTCGGGCGTCTCTTCGGAGGAGTGGGCGTAGACACGAGGGACGAGGCACAATGGGCTCACATGACCAAGCAAGGCACGTACGACGTCATCGTAGCTACAGCGCAGTGCGTGCTGGATGGCCTTATCCATGGTTTCTTCAGCATCAGAGATATTCAGCTGCTGATCTTTGACGAAGCCCACCATGCGAGCCTGGTCCACCCTTATCGGCGCATCATGAACTGCTACTGGGACACCCATCCCAAACAGCGTCCACACATCTTTGGCATGACTGCCAGTCCTCTCAAATCTGGCGCAAGCTTCGAATATGCCACCCAAACCCTCGAGAGAACGCTGGACGCGATCATCTTGACGGCTCCGGAGGCGCATCGCGAAGAGCTCGCTCGGGCCGTGAGTCGACCTCAAGAGCTTGTGGTGGAATTTGACTCTGCGCCATTGTCAAGTCCTAGCAAATTTACAAAGTTCATCGAGTCGGAATTCGGTGCCACGCCAGGCTGTAAACGCCTGCTGGCACGGATCGACGAAGTGTGAGCTGGAGGATCGCATTGACCCCAGATAGATATAGATGACGTGACTGACATATCCTCGCTCTTCTGGCCTTTCCTTTAGGACGGCAGAATATGGGGTTCTGATGGCTGACCTCGTCTGGGTGACTTCCTCCAAGGACATACGAGCAGCTTCGCGAGAGTTGCAAGACTACAGGCCATTGGCAGAATCGGACTACGAGCTGCTTAACTATGAATGGCGCCTTCAGCATGCATTCGACGCCGACCTCAGTCATGCCAATCTGCCAGCAAGAGCCACAACACTGGGCAGCCTGAATGCTGACCACAATCCGACTGACGTTGTAGATGAAAGCCAAGCAGCGGATATCGCCGCCGATGCAGCCTGGCAGAAGCTGTCCGAAGAGATCGAGCTCGACAAAGAGTTCCTTGAAGTCCTTGATGCCGTTGTTCTGCCGGACCGACTCGAAGTGACGAGGGACAATGCCACGCCAAAGATCATCGCTTTGGTAGAAGTCCTCAGGTCTTTGAGGACGGACGGACGTCTGTCTTCCGACTTCTGTGGCATCATCTTCGTGTCAAGGAGAGAGACAGCCATGGCTCTCAACGAGCTGATCAAACGCGTTCCACAGCTCGATTTCCTGCATCCAGAGTGCCTGATTGGACACGACGCTGACGCTCGACTTGGTATGAGCTGGCAAGATCAGAGCAAGTGCCTTGCACGTTTTCGACGCAGAGATCCGACCAACTTGCTGATTGCCACCAGTGTCTTGGAGGAAGGACTCGACATCTCGCCGTGCAACGTCATTATCCGCTTCGACCTTTTTCACACGCATATACAATTCGTGCAAAGCCGAGGTCGTGCTCGACACCAAGATAGTCAGTACATCATTCTGGTGGAGCGAGGCAATGCGAAGCTAAGCAAGTTGCTCGTGGCAGTGACCAGAGCTGAGCACGAGATGCAGACATGGCTGCACAATCTACCAGATGATCGAGAGCTTCCGAAGGACGCGCTCGCTACTTCTTCGAAAGGGGCTCTGGACGATGGTGAGGAGGAAATGAACGCAATCGAAGCCGAGATCCATCTCGACGAAAAATCCACCGGTGCGCGGCTTCATCCAGCAGACTGTCTTGGAGTGCTAGCGTACTATGTTGCGATCCTTCGAGCAGATGACTACTCCCCCTCGGCACCCGTGTACGCCTTCGATCGGGGCTTGGATGGCGTTTCTGCGACCGTCCATCTGCCCGCCAATGCGCGATTGCGAGTCGTGCATGGACCGGCCTGCAGATCGAAGAGAGTAGCCAGACGCTTTGCCGCTTTCGAGGCTTGTCGCCATCTCAGAGCTTTAGGCGTGCTTGACGACCATCTCGTGCCCCGCGTGCATCGACCTCAGATGGATTTCCAGCCGTTCGAGAAAACTGTGCACGGCAAGGTCATGGGCACTCGCTCTCGCGAAATTCGCCTGACCATTCCTCCGCCGCAAATATTTTGCCGGCTTCCTCAGAAGACCAGCAAGGAGCAGTTCCTGGTGCACGCAACCCTGTTGAACCTGTCCTCTCTCGCATCAGAGCCAAAGCCGCGAGACTTGTTTCTCATCACGTTTGAACCGCTTCCCAAATTGCCTGAAATGCCGTTGCATCTTGAGCATGGTGCTCGTATCTTACCGGAGAGCGCCGGCTCAGTGCCGATACTTTTGATCCCCCGTCAGCTCTTCCTTTGCCGCAAGTATACCGCCCTAGCTTTTGCACTGATGGTGAGTCCAAACCCTTGGTCGCTCTTGAAACGTCTTCTGACACAAAGGGCCTTGACAGACGCGCAACAAAGTACCTTCCGCAGCATTGACGTTCTTTATACTTCCATTGCTCTCGGGACGGCGTCATTCGGAGGCTTCTGCGCTTTCAATCGACTGGCCAGAAGTCGAGCATCTCGTCGACTCAAAACTCAGGCCCGTTGCTCTGACAACCTTCCTTGATCGAGACGAGATCCAAGCAGCGAAGGAGATCCTGCGAGACAGAGTGATCACAAGAGGCATGGACGTACGATGTGCGGCTCCTTTGCACGGTAAGTAGCTCCGAGAGTGCCGTGTTCCAGATGCAATGACTCAAGTATGAGCACCTCTCACTCATCAGTGCTGGACGTCGCTACGTTTGACGACCTTACTTTCGAGCGGATTGAAGAGGTGCGGCGCACGTACAGACGCGCGTTCTCTGGACCACCACAAGAGCCAGATGTGACCTGTCTTAGGCCGGATTCACCTTCTCAGCAGTACTACGGTGGCGAGGCTCTGATCGTCACTGCTCGAAGAATCCCTCGCTTCGACAATTATCTCTCCCCCCTCCCAAATGAAGGCCGGAGACGAACCGCTGTGAGTGGGAGCTGCAGGCGGCCGCCTGTCGCGCTGCGCTCATCGATACCTGCACTTTCCCGACAGTACGCGCGCAACCACTATCTGGTCAGGGCTGCATGCTGGCTGCACCCCATCAGCGCCTCATGCCACCGCGCCATCAGCTTCGTACCATCAATCCTGGCCCACGTGGAGCATTTCCTCAGAGTCCACGAGCTGAATGATCGCCTTTTTGCGTCTTCCCTTGATGTCTCGATGCTGCAGGTCGCAACCTCTGCCCCTTCGGCTGGTCGCGACTTCGATTACCAGAAACTCGAGTTTTTGGGAGACGCGTTCTTCAAAATTGCTGGGAGCTGCTACGTCTTCTCCCGCACAATTACGCAGAATGAAGGCGAGCTGCACGTGTCTCGGCTCAGAGTCATCAGCAACGCAAATTTGGTGCGCAAGGCAGTTCAGCGCGGCATCTGGCAGGCTTGCCAGGCTTCAAGCTTCTCCCGTAAGGGCTGGAGCCCCGTGGCTCATCAATTGCTCACATTCAATGGAGGTGCCAAGGTCAGCGAGAAGCTGTTGGCTGACGTTGTGGAGGCTTGCATGGGATCTGCGCTGACGCTCGGTGGGGAGACTCTATGTCTCAGCGTCATGGGCCAACTGGGGCTGTGGCCAGAGGACTACAAGATGCTCTCTGATATGCATGGCAACTGGGACAAGCAGCGCAGCAAGACTGTACCAGGCAGCGGCAACGAGCCTGAACGCATCAATCGGCGAGCTCTAGAGAAGCTGGAAAACCTCTTGCAGTATCGATTCAGCGAGCCTGAGCTGGCTCTGGAGGCCCTGATGCACCCGTCCCTCATCGCTTCGGATCTCCCTAGCTACCAGCGACTCGAGTTCCTAGGAGACGCCGTCGTCGACTTCCTAGTCGTCGATCATTTGCAAAGCAGCTATGGAGAGCTCGACGAGGGTGCGCTCACGCTGCTGAAGGGAAATGCCGTCTCCAATGCCGCTTTTGGCGCTCTGTGCGAAGCTATTGGTCTTCACCACTTTCTCCAACATTCTGACGCTACGCTTGCTCGAGCAGTATTCGAATATGCCACGCAAGCCGCCCAACTGAGGGCGGAGCAAGAGGCGAAGGAAGAGAAAACTCGCAGACAGTATTGGTGGCATTTGTCACCTCCAAAGGCGATGGCTGACATTTGCGAATCGATCATGGGAGCAGTGTTTACAGACAGCCATTTCAATCTCGAAGTGGTAAAGTCGCTCTTTGACCGCCTCTTCCTTCCTTTCTTCAAGCAATACGTTCGACCGGAAACTGTAGTCATACACTCCACTGCGGCACTGTTCACTATCTTGCAGCAGCTAGGATGTCGGAACTATTCATTGGAGCTCACCGAAGCGGAGCTAGACGCCCAGAAAAGTTTCAAGCGTATCGATCTTCGTCACGATGCCCTTGAGCCCAGCGTGGGTCTCAGATGCCGAATCGTATTTCATGGAATGCTTCTTGGGGAGGGTCTTGGCGTAGGTGGGTCCAGCAGCTGCAGGCTATGCTCAACACCTTTCGCTGACATTTGCGGTCGGCGTCCTTGATGCTCGTGCAGGACGACAGCAAGCTCAGACGGAAGCAGCTAAAGCCGCGACTGAGTTGCTAGACAGGGAAGGTCAGTCTCACGTGGGCGCCATTGCCATTCGACACGTATCACCGGGCGTGCAAGCTGACCTGAAGCGCGCGCGTGCTTTTCCAATATGGAAAACATAACCAGGTAAAGCGTTGCTACAACGCTGCGACTGTCGCGAAGAGAGCGCGCGTGTGCGACAAGCTACGCGCAAAGATCGAGATGTTGCTCGCGAGGGCAATTCATCGCGCGGATCCGAAGGGGGGGAGCTTGAGAGCGACACGGAGGAAGCAAGTCAGGAAGAGGGAGAACAGGATGTCAATGTCGCAGCCGGCCATTTTAGCGCTCCCCTTACGAGCAACGATATCTTCTTGGACAGGCATGAGGATGCTATGGACACTCTTGCCTAGTCTCAATGCTGCCGTTCTCACAGATGGGGGCGCCTTCGATACAACAAATCAAGATTGCTTGTGCTGTACATTCAAAAGGTTCAGTGACCATGAAATTGGAACATATCGCCATACCTCCAGTCGTCTTGGACTGGCGACGCTGGAGCGGCATGGCTCCGAGACGTGAATTTGATGGTGCTGCAGCAGAAGAAGACGCGCAGTCCCCAGAAAGCCGACGAGCTCTAGGCTCAGACGGCGGGTCGGCCGACCAGCACAGTGCTGCCATCCGTCTCGTCCGATCCGCTCCCATTCGGATCTCTGACAGAAGAAGCGGGTCTTCGGTTGGTGCTTCCAGCAGGCTGATCGGATGTCTTTGCAGCGCTCTCGACAGCGCCCGTCGATGCGGCTCCCTGCTGGACTCCCGAAGCTTTTGCAGATTCCGACAAGAGGCCATAGTCGTCCGGTCTCTGTCCCGAAGTTCCAGCTCTGCGCAACCTTTCCGAATCTTTGCGTGCAGCAGCTCCCAAGTCCCTTCCATGCCCCGTCCCAACAATGCGCGCCATGAATCCAGCGATACCGCCAAGGCCTTCAGGACCGATGCCCACGTTCGAAGGGACCGAAAGCGAGCCACCTGATCTGGTAGAGGAGGGCGGCCGCGTGGCTATGGATGAGGTATCGAACGAGTCCCTTTGCGCATCCATCTCCTTCAGTTCTTTTAGCATGAGCTCTCGCACTCGCGTGGTCAGGTCGTTGACGTCATCTTTGCCTAGTCCTTGGGTGGAAATCGGCTCCAAGACTACGGTCAAGGTAGGACACCATATGTGAATCTCTCAATGTGGCTTGCACACGAGCTTTGAACTGAATGTAGCAAATAGTACTCACCCTTGATTCGGATTGTGCCGCCCTCAAATCGCGTCTTGCCGTCAAAGAGGCGATTGTAGTTCTCGCACACCACAGGGACAATAGGCACCTGTGCCTGAACGGCAAGATGGAACGCTCCCTTCTTGAAAGGCAGAAGATCAGGGAAAGGCAGATTGGAGCGAGTGCCCTCGGGGAAGATCCATAGAGAAAGCTGCAGGAGCGAAGCGAAGAGCGAGAGTAGCCAGTGTGCACGTGAGCCTCCGCCCGCATACACGCGTACCGACTGGCTTAGGGTTAGCATAGCGCCCTCACCTTTCGCTTCTTCATCTCCGCGCCAACCTGATTGAAGGCTTTAACCGCGTCGTGTCTGTTCTTGCGATCGATGAACACAGCTCCAGACAGCGACACTGAAGGTAATGCGAGGTGGTGCATGAGCAACAGCAATAAGGCTTTTTCCTTGCGCCAGACACGGATCTGTCTTGCCTGCTGTGCACTTTCAAAGACCCACTCACTAAACTGGCCCAGCAAAGGAGCATACTTGAGTTCTTGCTTTGCCATGATGGACGCCATCTTGGGGAAGATGCGACCGAGGTACAGGATGTCGATGCCAGTCTGATGGTTGCCGACCAGCACACCTGGTCTGCCCTTTTCGAAGTTTTCCTCTCCCTCGACGTGATACCTGATTCCTGTGAGCGTACCGGCGTAGAGGTAGAATGACCTGGCCACGTAGTAGTTCGTGTTGAGTCGCTGAGCGCCGGGTATGATGGTGAGAGCGATGGAGCAAATGACGCCAAAGACGCTGCACACGCCCAGTCCGCTGATGTACACTATCGTGTTGAGGTACATCCTCGCCCGCTTGGACCGCGGAGATAGCAGGGAAAGCAGGAGGAAGGATGTCCCCAGGGTATAGGCGAGCGTTCGAGTTATGAGGCCCATGATGAAGAGGAGCGGAGCCCACAGGCTCATTTGGTATGCTGATGTGATGGGCGGCTGACAGGGTGTTCCCTGCGCTAACAAGCTCAGATCGCAGACGTCTGAGGAAATTCTTGCGGATGGATGACTCTACGGTCGCCACGCTTCGCTTGTGGGTAGGGAAGCAAGGGAATCGGGAGGGCGGCTGAGTCGGACGCCTTGGTAAGGAGAGCCTCGTACGCTTTTGGGCGTCTGACCTGTGATAGTGGAGAGAGGAAAGAGAGAGGGGCACACGATTCGCGTCGCTCGTTGCTTGGTCGCCTCCCAGCGCTTGCAACCATCTCATCCATCAACGACTTTTGCGTCTTCCATCGATCATCGCCCGCCGGTTCTGGCGAAGCGCGTTTCGAAAGCCGGGCGCGAGGCCGGGCGGGCGCGCATGGGCCGGCTAATGTGCGGGCAAGCGCGTGCCGGCGCCCAGATGCGCGCAGCAGCGCCCCAACACAACCCAAACAAGGCATGCCACACGGCGGGTCCGTGCGAAAGAGCGCGTCCGTTGAATTGGACAATCGTGAATCGTGAATCATGAATCACGAATTGATTTCACGCTACGTGGACTTGAAGCGCTAAATTTTAAATGGTGAACGTCGAGCTTACATTTCACACCAGGTTGTCTGAATTAAACAGGGCTTGCTTGGTATTCTGGAGGCACGTGACCACATTCATGCTTCTAGCGATGACTGGCAACAGCGCTACCCTCAAGTCAACATCAGCTCGACCGCGAGCTGATGGTCGATTCAGCAGGTGGTCAGTGACGTGTCACCTTCCGCAACGCTTACCTTCATCCCTATGTGTTCTTGATTTTACTTTGCAAGTCCGAGCTTCCTCTTTTGTGCTCCTCCGTAGACATAGGCACCTCTCAAGAGGTTGCAGGCCAACGCGCTCACGCAAAGCTCCCTCTCTGAAGCAGCAGCAGCAGCAGCGGTCTTGCGAGGTGGACGCTTCTTACCGACATCAGAAAGAGTAGCATCAATAGCAATGGCGTCGACAGGCGACGGCATCGTACCAGCTGCAGCTCAAGCAGGTCAGTGGTGTTCAGAATCCGCTAGCCTTTGCAAACTCGTAGCACGCTTTGCTGATTTTCATCTTCACCTGCTATCTCCTTAGCGCTGGACGAGTACCGCAAGAAAGATGCGGCAAAGATCGTAGTCCGCTTCAAAGCGATCGGGAACGCTCCGATCATGAAGAACAACTACTTTCGCATCACCGCTTTCAACCGTTTTCATGCTGTCATCGTCTTTTTGAGAAAGGAGTTGGGATACTCTGGTAAAGAGCCGCTAGTGAGTGTCGAGTGGATGGGGCAGAGACACGAGCGCTGTGCCGGGCGATTCAGATTCATCGGGCCGGGAGCTAGAAGCTGCTTGGGTCGCGGCATAGATCTCGGCACGCTCGCTCTTGTGGTCGTGTTGCAGAGCCAAGGCCCACAAGCGCTCATGTCTCAACACTCTGTCCCCTCGAATGCCGCAGTTCCTCTACATCAACGCCTCTTTTGCTCCCGCAGCCGACGACAGCGTGGGCAATCTGTATAGGGTGCGTGCCCCTGCTGCTCCTTTGCAAGGATCTGCTGAGTCTCACTCCCTCCTCTTTCTGCAACAGTGTTTCGGGACAGAAGGACATCTGATCGTCAATTACTCCACGCAGGCCGCTTGGGGTTGAGAGACGGCGCCGCCGTGCGCTGGTGTGGCCGAGGTGACCTCGCCCCTTGCCCTAGAAATGGCAGCTCAGCTCAGTCGCGAGGTCAGGTGCACTTCAAAACGCTCGTCTGCTCATCAAGGGCGATCCGGGCGTGTAGCAAAGCTCCCGCAACTCGTGGAGCATACATCGAGGTGTGCTCAATACGAGAGTCTCTCAGCAGCGATCACTTCAACAACGAGCACAGTCACGAGTCACCAGGACGCGGGGAGCACCAGTCAGCATGGGAATCATGTATACACGTGGCTCAATGTGGTCAGCCAGCACCGAGGAAACCATCCGGGACATTTCCAGCGATCGTCGAGTGGCTCTGATAAGGAGGCAGCCAGCACGTCTACTTCGATCATCTCAGCGATGACTTCCCCACATGCATATGCCCTCGTCATGCCATGCTGCAGGAGCCAAGAGACCAGACAAGTACGGGTCAGCGGAGAATGACGGTTAGTTCATGTGACCCATGTAGACACCTGATCTAGACTCACTCCAGAGTAGCCTGCAGCGATGTACTGGCCTGGAATGATGTCAGCAGATGGCTTCAGGTCGCTGTCCTCATCGGCCAGAGCTTGCCCTCGTAGTAATGGACCACAGATAGGATTCAACGATTGCGTGTATGCCATGATTCCTGTCCATTCGTGCGTTGGTTGCGGTAGTCTCTCGAATGCGGAGGGCAGCAAGGAGGATAAGAGCTGACGTTGGCGCTGTACATTAGACAGGCTTGCGTGCTTTTAGTCGGCGTTTGAAAGGGCCAGGGGATTTTGCAGACTTCTGCTCACCTTGCTGACATTATTCGAAAGCTCTCCATCATTCTCCACACCCCACTCGTAAGCAGGCGCCGAATTGCGTCCGCCTCCGAAGATGATGGGAGGATTCTTGGCAGGACCCTGCAATGTCCCGGCTTGCACTTGAGCCGTTCTGGGCCGCATTTGCATGTAGTTGAATCCGTCTGGCGTGGCTAAGCCTTGAGACCATGTTTGAGGATCCTTTGGCTCCACCGCCATCGCCTGGCCTCGAGTGGGCACTATGCCCTTTGGACCTGCGAGCTGAGGGCTCAAATGACTTGCTGGCGTGTCATCCAGATCAAGACGCATCCGAAGGGCCAACAGTCAGTCGTCGAACGCTCGGCAATCAGAATTAGCTAAGGGCTCCACGCACCCCATGCGTTGGTGGCGTGCACGACGTATCTGGCTTGCAGGGAGCCACGTCGCGTTCGGAGCAAAGCGCGAGAGCTGCTTTGCGTCAAATTGTTGAATCCGTTCGAAGCCTGCTCCACAACCTCATCGACTGGGCAGTATGTATGCGCTTCTACTTGGATACGCCTTTCTCTGGCAGTGCGCATCGCCACCGAGTAGAGTAAAGAGACGAGCTTGAGCGGGTGAACTGTGGAGCCCGTCTGTTCCCATGCCGCTTTGGCACCCGACAGCCCGAGCTGCATTTTAGCGAGGCAGTATTTGAGCGATGTACGTGGTAGCAAAGCAGGGCGGACATTACACCTCTCCACGTACCTGCTCCAGCTCGGCGTTTGGCAGCCTGATGAGGCCCTTGGTCCAGTCACTGAGACCTGCGTGATTCGCAGCTGTGATGGAATCTTCAACTTCTTTCACTTCTCGATCCTCAAGAGCTACGATCCATCTTCCTGCGCACTGCAACTCGGGATCCACGTAGCCCTCTAGCTGAGCTTTCGAAGGGTCCTTGCGAGCCAGGGCGGCTTCCGTCCTAGTGAGCACCAAGAGCTCCGCAGCTGTTCTGGCTTCACACACCAGCATTGTCCTGACCACCTCATCCAGCAAGTCTCCTCGATCATTGCCGTACACTTCTTGCCTGGTTCTTCCTTCCGGCGGCTTGACTGCGTATCTCGATATGCCCGGCGAGTTCCGCAGCTCGCGGTAACTCAAAGCAGAGAGAGGTGTCATGTGCCCTCCATTGCGACCTGTGGCGCCCGAGCAGAAGCCGCGCGCGTCGAAGAGAACGATGCGACTGCCCGATTGCAAGCGCGTGACGAGGTGGTACAACGTGGAGATGCCGGTGATGCCAGTGCTGCGCTCGTACAGTAGGGCGCGCACCAGTGGCCGCTCAGGTCATGGATCAGCGTTTGGAGGCCTTTGTGATAGGCTTCACGCTGACGCGGCACAGCTCACCCTATGATAGCAACGGTAGCTTCACCTTCTACAGCCGAAGAATCGCTGAGGTGGGCGGTCTTGGCAGGGCCCTCGCACGTAGCTTGCCAATAAGAAGGATTGACATGGGTTTGAGGGAGCTCAGCAGGCCGGTTTGGCAGAGCGTCGAATACTGACTGCGAGGCGGACGCTTGAAAGGACTCGATGTCCGATGCTGCTGCGATAGCTGGCATATTTGCACGGTCTGAACGGGAGCGTGTATGACTTGGTCAGTGTGATGATGATGAGCGGAGCGCAGTGGTGAAGAGTGGATGAATAAGGAGAGCGATTCTTCGATCCAGATAGCGCCTTTAAAGCAACATGAGCCGCATTCAGATTGGCTTGTCTTGAGATACGACGAAAGGGCAGCAACGGCGTGGCGCGGCCGCTGATGGTGATTGCTGATGTTCACCGTTGCTCAGGAGGCAGCCGCACCTGGTGTGAAATGAAGAGCATCAATCAGCATTTGGCAGTTTCGGGTCCATCGCGGCATCATCATTCCGTGATTGCGGCCCTCAGCAGGACGCGCGGGTGCGGTCCTGTCTGAAGTCCGCGGTATCCGCGGAAGATGAGGATGCGTTGATAGGTGAATGCATGCATGCAGTTGCCCGAGCACGCTGACGCACTCATCGCGACTTGACTTGATCTTCCTTTGTGGTCTTCGAGTCTGCAGTTCCCCTTGCCATTGCCTTCCACACCATCATCTTACCTTTTCCCCTCCCCAACTCTTGACTACATTCGGACCTGCAGCATCAGCATCACTTCTGCGACCGCCTTGCTGGAAGCTCCTCTTAGCCAGCATGTCACCAGCCAGATGTCAGGCTCTGCGACATACGCTTAGGAGATTGCCTCAACATGTCGCTTCTCACCCCTCTCCGCAATTGCATCCTCCCCGCTCTCTCGGCGAGTCCTCCAATACACACAAGCGCGCTCTTTCTACAGCTTCCCATCACTCCTCCGTGGCCACGTCTCTGCACGAGCTCGAAAAGCGCAGTGTCGCATCGCGACGGAGCTACTCGCGTTTGCCTAACAGCAGTAGGGGCTCACGAGTCGGGCGTCGCGCAGCACAGCAAGCCACAGCGACACAGCGCAGTTTCGAGAATGCCAAGATTCCTCCCCGCGACGATGCTCATGAGACATCTCGTAGTGATCCGCAAGGCGCCTCAGCACTACAGGATCTAGGTCAGAGGCAGCGCCCAACCGAGCCTGCTGTACCTTTGCCATCTGATCCCGGTGGCGTGCTATCTCCACAGACGCATCCCGCTGTGGCCACCATGCTGGGTCAAGAAGCGGTGATCTGCACGCGAGAAGTGGAGTGGATGAAGTGAGCGCCGACTCTGATGGTGTGTTTCAATGTCAACATGGGCGCGCGAGATACTAACGCCGTGCATGCCCCATCCTGATGCTTTGCCACACGTTCTCCAGCATCATGGTCGGTTTCGAACAAGCGAACCGATATGCGCTTCTCAACCCTTCTGGCCAGCCACTAGGATACCTTGTGGAACAAGAGGGCTCCCTTGGCAAGACTCTTACACGCCAATTATTGCGGACGCATCGGCCTTTCAAAGCTCTCGTACTAGCCCCAAACGGAACACCGATTCTTCGTGTCGAGAGATCATTCACCTTCATCAACAGTCGAACGCGCGTCTATTCCATCGATCCTGGCACATATGACAGCGCTGCAGATGTGGACCTGGAGCGGGCACCGGACGAGTCAGATGAGCAGCTGATCGGAGAAGTCAGACAGGTCTGGCATCCTTTCAAGAGGCGCTACGAAATCTTCAGAGCGCGCGAGGGTGGTCAAGAGATGCAACAAGTTGCAAAGGTCGACGGAGCCTTTCTGACTTGGGTAAGTAGGTCAATGCGCTTTGTGTGGGTGTGCACAACAGGAGTGCGGCAGCGCATACATGCTCGCTGACACGTGCCTGTATACCAATGCAGGACTTCTTTTTGGAGGACGAGAGTGGGAAAGTAGTCGGGAGCGTGAATCGCAACTTTCGAGGCTTTGCGAGGGAGCTCTTTGCCGATGTCGGTAAGTGCAGCTTGTGGTCGCAGCACGACATGTATCGAGCATATGCGTAGGACTGATGACGACTTTCTGTGCTACCGCTCTACAGGCCAATACGTCGTGCGATTTGAGGGCGACACGCCGGCCTCAGGCACCTCCACAAACAATCAGAGCCCCGTGAAAGCTGAGAACGAGTCGCGCGAGCTGGTGCCCATCACGCCTAGCTTGACGCTGGACGAGAGAGCGCTGGCTCTTTGCGGGCTTGCTTTCGGTCTTGATGTGGACTACTTCTCCAGGCATTCCTCCAGCGGCTACGGTGGCTTTTTTCCCGGGTTCATGCCAATACCAATGGGGGGAGGCGGCTCGCAACCTCCTACAGAAACGCCAGGTCAAACTTCTGGATCTGGAACAGGAGGCGAGCCGACGCCTTCAGGCGGTGCTGGTACGGATGTGTGGCAAGATACTCGAGGCTTGCAGTCCCCACAGCTACCGCCTGGTGCCGTCAGTGGAGAGTCCGCTGTCGGGACTGCAGGCACCGTGGCAGGTTACGAAGCTTGGAGCGGATGGATGACTCCAAGCTCTACGAGCGACTCGCCAGCCCCTGCCCAGCCTGTTCAAGGAGCTTCTCCTCCACCTCCACAAGACTATACGGGGTCAGGTCAGGGCTACTCTGGGCGAGACGAGAATGTTTGGGGCGACCAGGACCCATGGAAGGGTGGCGATGAGAACTCTGGAGGCGGCCTTTTTGGTGACATTTTTAGTGATCTGGGTGACGGGGGTGACTTTTTCGACGGCTGAGGGAGCAACGGCCTTTTCCTCGGCGATACCCGGACGTCTTGACAATGGGCCTTTGATCACCATGACGATTGTAATATACTGTGTATATGCTGGTGGCCTCATCAACCACGAATGTGAATCACTCCTCGAAGCCTGCTTGGCATGGCTCCTTTACCTCATGTGCGACAGAGTTGGAGGCAATGGATATATGTAGCTGTGTGTGTAGAGCCAGCTCAGCCTAGATGAAGGGTCCTGGCTGCATACGCGTACATGCGGACGAACCCCCTCGCCGTGAACAAGCCGCCCGTGTGCATGCGCACAACACCGCTTTGAGGTCCGTGCGCGCACGCGCGTGTTTTTTGGTGCTCAGGCAGCATCTACTCAGCACAGCAATCACGACTCTTGAACTTGGCCTCCCTACACCGCTGCTCACAACCCGGAGCTGACTTTGAAATAAACTGCCTCTCACTGTGTCTCGTGACTCGTGCTCATAAGCGCGACTGCTTGAAAAAAAAACACATTTTGATTCGTAGCCAGCTCTATCCATGCCTTTAAGTCATCCACCCTGTCTGTTGATGGTCTCAACGCGCCCTGATCGTTCACCTACCTCAATACACCGTGATGGCGAGAGCGACAGGGAGCAGAGGCGCGAATGGTGCCTCGAGCGGTAGCGTCACTCCACTTCCATCGAGCACGCCTCATGCTGCCACTGCTGGGCAGGTAGGTGATGCGGAAGGCCACGCTGCTGCTGCTGCTTCTGCTACTGCTACCGCAAACCAAACCTTGGCTGGTGTGTCGTCTCCAGCACCGACACCTGCATCTAGCAGCGCAGGTAGCGCCAATCCTCCGACATCCATTCCGGGCCCAGCTCTGCGTTCGGGCTCGACTTCCACAGGCCAGACTGCAACCGCTTCTACACCCGTCGCTGGGTCTAGCAGTGGGGCTTCTCGAAGAGAGTTTACGAATTCCAGACCCAATAGCGCCATTGCTGGTCCGTCGGCTGTGTCATCGTCGTCTACTCGCGGACGTGGGCAGACGGCCGCAAGCGCCCTTTCCACTCACACGATGCACCCTGCGGCCGCCGGCTCGCTTTTCGGCTTCGAGCAGGCTGCTTCATCGAGCCGGAGTGGTGGCAACGGACTCTTCAACTTTTCACAGCGAGGCACGCCAACCTCGAACGACACGAGCGGTGGTCGTGCTTCTGCTCAGCGCATCCCATTTACATCTCAGGGCGCTCAAGGAAGTCCTAGACCTCATGTGGGCGGTATGTTGGGCGCTGCTGGCAGCACTCTGTGGTCCAGCATTCCGACTTTCTCCTCTCCAGGTAGGCCAGGCGCGGGCATTGCAGCGTCGAACTCCCAACATGGCTTTGCGGGCGCTGGTCAAGGCAGCTGGGCCCTCGCTGATCCTGCTGGATGGAGCGGGGAGTCGAGCGCACCAGCTGCCGTCAAGGCCTTTGAAGAGGACACCATCACCGTGAGTGGCTATGCCCTGTGCGGAGCTCCGTCTAGCACACTTCTCAGCGTCACTCCTCTGCCCCTCGCAGTCATTCCGTTGGCGCATCTCCGATCTGAGACTGCTCCGTGACGAAGTGGAGAGCTCGGCGCTCTCCGATGGCGAGCGCTCCATCTCTGCAGGCGCAGGCAAAAGCGAGATTTGGACCACGCAACCAATCTTTGGCGACGGGAAGTGGAAGCTGGAGCTCGTGCGCACCTCTCGTGGAGCTGGATCTTCTGGCAGCAAGGAGGACGAGGAGGCTGATTCGAGTGCTGAGGGCCGAAGCAACACAGTATTGAGCGTATATCTGAGTAAGTGGCCGGTCAGAGCGATGCGCATTCACACTGATTGGCGTTGACGAGGGGGTCGTCTGCCTTTGGTTGCAGCGGCGATGCTACTGGACTACATCCCATCTCATATCTCCATCGCCGCGACCATCTTCGTTGGCCTCGCGCCTGCAGGCCGCTCGCCATCCATCAAGACATCGCGCGATGGAGGCTTCGTCTGGAGGCATCATGCAGCTCACACCTTCGCACGGGATGACGGCGAGTTCTGGGAGTGCCACGAGCTGCCGAGCCTGACCGAGCTTCTAGAGTTCCCGGCGGTTTCCAGACAGAATGCTATGGAGCTGACGTTGCAGATATCGACCGGACCTCGCGTCGCTCAAACACCAGAAAGTGGCACCATCCGCACCAAGAACACTTCGGTGTTCGAAGACAAACACACACACTCGGTTCCACGAGCGCTCGTCAATGGTCTCGAAGGTCTCCTTGATTGTAGCGCTACGGGAGATGTCATTCTGCTAGTCAAGGAGCGAGGCTTGAGACTGGCGCCCGATGCCGATGGCGAGCGCCATGTCGAAACAGATCCGTTTCCCAGTAGTAGCGGGACCATGCCAAGTGGGGCCGGTGCAGTCACGAGGGATCGAGTTCTGTGGGCGCATTCATCGATTCTTCGCGCTCGAGGAGAGTTCTGGAGTGACATGCTCGCCTCCTCCTTTGCAGAGGGGGTCGAGCATGATCTAGCAGAAGCATACGGAGGTCGTCGAGTACGCGTCCTGAGGCTCCCCGACGCAGACTTTGCATCAGCGTATGCGCTTCTGCGTTGGTTATACGTAAACGAAGTCGAGTTTGCTGATGATTTCAACCAGCCATTGCGTGGAGAGTCCTTTGGTCTGCTTGATGACTCGCATTGGGTCACGGAGGAAGAAGACACAGCGCAGAGCCTACCCGACTGGGACTGGCAAGAGTGCGTCAGAGACGAGGGCGAAGAGCACGTCAACGGGGCGGCGGCCAACGGCCAACAGCAGCCTCAGTTCCCGCTTCACACACCAGGTGGGCTAATGTCCAGCAGAGCCTCGCATGGCTCGGTCAGTTCGAGTACGACTGCCGCTGCAGAGGGGCCTCAACATGTCCCTGCAAGTCCGCCTACTACTTTGCCCCGCCCTCGTAGGCCTGGAGAGTACGATCCGCGAGCTTCGCGCCCCGCGTTGGCAGCGTTGAATCAACAGAGTCCAAGCGCGCCGACTCTGGGTTCGGTACTCAGTCAGGATCCGCATCCTCATCCAGTCACTGACTTGGCGCCAGCATCAGCTCTGACCATCTATCGACTCGCTCATCGATGCGCTCAAGATTCTCTGGCTGAGCTAGCGCGCGCGCACGTTGTGGCCTCTCTCGATCCTCAAAGCGCTTTCCCCACCTTTTTGGCCACGGGTCTCTACGCCGAGCTGCACGCCGACGTGAAGAGGTACCTGCTAGCAAATTGGACGGCCGTCAGCCATAGCGAAGCTTTTGAAAGGTGAGCAAATCCCGACACTTTGGCCCACGTCCTGAAACGCACGTATGTCTCCCGCCCCTGATATTCTTGCTGACACCCGTCGAAATGTGCTCTTCGAAACACAGATCGATTGATGAGATCTGTGCAGGTCAATGGGGCGACGCGGCGAGTCGTTCACTAAGAGAGTTTATGCGCGCTCTGACGCCATACAGCCCTCCTGCTAGACGCTCTCGTTGAGAGCGATCGCATCCCGACTACACTATCGTTCAGCACCCCTGCTGCCATCAATCACGTCCGCACCGATTGCATTAGCTGCTCACCCTCGAGCACTCGGTCGCATCTTCAAGCTCGAGGCGCAGATAGACCCACATGTAACAATCTTCAAATTGAATGTCCACATCATGCACGATCACGTACGACTTTCGATGTAACTTCTATAGGTATGCGTGCTTTAAGTAAAATGAAACGAGAACAAGAATGCTGATGCTGCAGTCGGTCGTGCAGGATTGCGCTTCCATCAGGGTATGGTTGAGAAGTGCATCGTTACAAGGTGACCAAAGCATGTCGCAGACGATGGAGGAGTAGACGCACAAAGTTTGAGGAGCGCAACGCCATGCTAGCTGGCTCACCACTGCACAGCAAGACCGCTAACAGCCTCGTCCTGCACCGCTCTGTACTGTGTAAAGAAATTTTGCTCTCCAGCACCATCATTGAGCGAGCGTATCCTACCCTCGTAGTCTCGCGTCAAGCTTTCGATGTTCTGCTTCGTGCTCTCAGCAAGAGGTGCGACATGGTCGCGCAGAGCTTTCGAGACGGCGTGGCTCAAAAGTCGAGGATCGCCAAGTTGTTGTCGGTCCTTGACAAAAGCTTGGACTGCATGTGCGCTCCCAAAGGACAAGTCATCGTCGGGCGATTCGACGTCTTCTTTGCGCCAATAGGCGTTTTCAACAACTCTGACCCACTCCCTCGATGTTCCTTGCCATCCCTTGATCGGCTCCTCAATCGATGCTCTCTCGTCCCCAAGATCCAGACCATCGTCTTTGCGCTCAGAAGCCAGCGAAAGCATGTCCGTATCTGGCGTGTCGTAGCCGGTCATCTTGGCTTTGGGCAGTTCCACTCCATCCACCTGCATCTCTGCCGCATCGTTTTGCGCTTGCAGTGTTCGAGCTACAATGGACGTGGCTTGCGCATCCGACTGTTCTTGGTTCGCCGGTGCGGAAGAGGTGGGCGGACGCAATTGTCCACCTCCATTCACGCATCCTCCAGGGCAGGCCATGACTTCAACATAGTCGTAGCTACCATCGTCCTCGGCAGCCACCGAGAGGGGCGACGCAGCAACAGCACCTGCCTGATCGGTGCCCCGCGCTGCTGCTCCTCGCTTGACCATACCTCTGCCTCTACCCCTACTCGTTCCTCTTGAACTTCTCGCACCTCCGATCCTGCTGAGTGGATCAACGATGCCAGCTGATGCTCCTTTACTCTTCAATCCAGTCTGCTTCTGCAATTTCCTCACCAGATTTTGCAGATTTCTGAATCCGTACGTCGTCGCACCCCTAAAGAGGACGCTTCCAGCCGCATCACGAAGGACGTACTCGGTATAATCCGCGTTGCGAATAGTGCGCACGTCCAACGCGGGCTGTGCTGAGTCGGGTGAGAGGGTGGAAAGATGATCGGTCCACACTGCAGCGAGAATGGCGAACAGATACGAGCCGGAAGAGCTGCCCACTTGTGGCAAAAGCGAGGGTATCGATGGACGTGTCGCTGGGTCAGAGGTATCCTGAGTGGCAACAGATGTTGCTGCTATGTCCAGGTCTGCTCCTGATTCAGATTCGGGTGGTGAAGGCGGAAGTTTGGGCCGCTCCGCAGTGCTTTCAGCCTCCTGCAGCAGCGCGAGGTCTGCGTTCGATGCAGAAACCGAAGCCGTGATGTCGAATTCCTGCTCCTTCATCAAATTGTCCAACTCGCCTGCAGTAATCACGCAGTCCACATCCTTGACGCTCTGTCCATCTGCCCCAGCGTTGGCGAAATCAGGTCTGCTCGCCTCTAGCTTCTTATCATAGCAGGGCATTACAGAGAGATGGTATACTTGACGAGTCTTGCCGCTCGGATTCCTGGCTGTGCTGGACGCTAGCGTTGCAGCGGCAGGGAGGATTTGCTTTGCGAGGATGCCGGATATCTGCTGGGGAGAACGAGTTCGCGATAGGAGCGGAAGAAGCTCTCCATGTGTCTTTTCGGCGTAGCACACCCAACCTGGACAAGCGCTTGCTAGCATAGGAAGGCAAGGTGTGGCGTTGCCATTCGCACTGTTTGGCGCTCTCGATTGACTGTCTTTGCGGTCTTTGAACTCCCTTACGTGCGCTCGGAGGGACAAGTGCCTCGCAAATGTCGTGTCGTACACCTCGTCGAAGCCGAGCTGCGATTTGAAAAAGTAGGCGATGCGAGCAAGCATGGTGGGCAGGCTCAAGTGAGTTGCGGATGCGCGCATTGAGGAGGCTCGATGAGAGTACAGGGCGGAGAAGCTGGCAAGCACTTGGGGCGCTATGGACGCCACGAGCAGCGGGCGATCCGCCGTGGGCAGCTGAATGGGCGACGGTGGAAAGGCGATGTGTGATGAGAGGAAGAGTATTGCAGCATACAAGCTATCTACGGACACAGCACCACTCACCTCCCGAACTTCTCGCAGCGTCTTCATCAAGCTCTCTGTGCTCTGCAAGCCGACCAGCACAGCTTCAGCGCTAGTGACGCAGCCGGAGCAGGCCAAACAATCGTCCAGACTGATCTGAGCAGTCTCAAGCTTTGTCCTCGCTCTCGGCTGATCGTCGCTCGTAGATCCTGACGCTGCTGTGCTGCTGAATCCGCCATCGCTGTGTACACTATGGCGCGATTCGTAGTAGGAGCCATCAGCATCGATGCTTATGGCTGTGCTAGCTCCACCAGCCTGGCTGGTAACATTAGCCGCCTCAGAGTCCGGCTTTGCCGTGTCGCCTGACACTGGCTTGATGCAAGCCTGTGATGGACCGAGATAGTCGTTGAGATCGGTCAGCGTCAATGCACCTGAGAATGTCATCTTCACTGCCAAAAGGTGGCTAGCAATGTTGGTGAGGAGCAGAGTCAAGTGCAGAAGGCGGGCGATGAGGAAGGATATGCTGGTCAACGGCGAAAGGGACTGACTGCGCAGTGATATCAGATGCTCTTGAGCGACTTCTGTCGTGGAGAATTTGTTCGCCTCGTGCGGGTGGGTGTAGTCGATCTTGGCGCGCGAGACACGGGTTGTTGCGATGTACCACTCGTGATTCGTCGCAGCATTCAGAGGAGATGCGGTTGTGAGATTCATCGATCATGTTGCACTCACTCATAGACTCGTGACTGCTTCAAGTAAACGTTATCTCCGAAAACGCGCGCCCGCGTATCGCGATTCAGCGCAGCTTATTTGATTCAAATTCTTGATTCCCAAATCACGAATTTGAATATGTGACTCTCTACTCACTGACTCAAAACTCTTGACTGGATTCTTGATTCTTGATTGGTAAGCGCTGAAACGGCACACGTGACAGTTGCATGTGTGAACGGTGGACGTCACGTGCTCACAACAGACGAGATTCGGCAATCTTGACCTGCAAGTGAGCAGGCCACGCCGCCTGTATCGAAGATTGCCGTGGCGGCTCACTTCGCCGCGCCCATGGCATGGCAGGAGAGCCTCAGCCTCAGCAATAGTCGTGAGTGACTTGTGCGGCTTTGGCTTTGACCAACAATGAGGGTTAATGTGAATGGAGGTGCTCGAATGGACGTGCCAGGGGGGCATGTGGGTCCACAGGCCTGAGGCGAGCGGAGCAGCAAAGTACACCGCGTCCTCCCCGCCGGCAAACACTCACCCCCTCGCTCGATCGATCCACTTCGCAAATCTCTCTCTTCTGCGCGTGCGTGTTGAGCGTGTAGGTGTGACTGTAGATGCAAATTGCAAATTTTGCTGCTGCCATGGCTGCATGCCTGACTCTCTCTGCCAGGCTATCATTCCCCATTCACCATGATCGCCTTGTGCACGCATGTCTGCGGGGGAAGATCAGAGGTGCTGCGCATGCCGCCTGCTGCAAAAA